CGTGTCTGGGCTGCCCCGCTGCCGGAGCCCCTCCACGGCTTTGCGCCGCGTCTTCCTGGTCTGCAGACCAGGGAGACGTGGAGCAGCTTTTCTCGCCCCCGAGTACACCGGTGGCGGGACTGTGAGGTCCTGCAGTCCGTGTCCTCTGGGGCGAGAAAAGCCCTGTTCGTACTTGCAAGTCGGGGACTGCCTGTATGTTTATACCCAGCGTATAAGACGACCCCCGATTTTTGGGGGATGTTTTTTAGTATAAAAAGTCGTCTTATACGCCGGAAAATACGGTAGTGATCATACAGAGTGAACCTCTATAGTTCAGTTCTCTGGTCCAGCAAAATCCATGGTGTAGCATGGTTTTAGTCAGTCTCATGTCCACTTACCTATGTGGGTGTGGCTAAGTTTCCTCTGGTCCCATAACATTTTGTTTACAGCTACCAGTCCAGGCTTTCAGTATTATATGCTGTTATTTAGGTCTAATTTACCCCTGAATATCTTCTAAGAGCCCATTAAGCAATGGAAGTGTTGGTAACGCCTGACAATATTGACTTCCTGTGGCTTGGCAGAGTCTCTGGTTCGGTACTGGTCATGCCTAAGGGTGCCATACTAGAGAGGTTCAATATGTAGACACATTTCAACAGAACAGTAATGTTCAATGTTTACTTTTTCCCAATAATACCTCACAGGGCTTACTTGGTACAAAAATATAACCATATGAAAGCAGTGAATTTTGAGGCATAGCGTGTCAAAAAGGGCACATCTTAAATTTCAGATAGCTTTGTTTTGAAATGGTAAAATTTGGGTTCCATTATGGTCAAAATCATGTTTTATAGTGAAAAGTCGTCTTGTCTTGAGCAGTGATTCACCTTAACATATTTAATTGTGGATTTTCAAGTGCAGAATAGCCAGTAACACCAGAAAAATAGTTAAGATGGTAAAATTCTCTTGTCAGAATTAAGTTAAAGCAAGAATATAACTTTTTTTTTTAACTACAATGTTGAATTAATACTGGCATCTGATCTCTTGAACAGATAATACTGTTAACTAATCCAGTGTTATTCAATAATATCAAATGTAGAAAGAAAACAATTTGTTTTTCAGTACTTACTTTTAACTAGGGTTTTTTTTTCCAGACAATATAAAATATTATTTTTTTTTGTATATTTGAATAGGATAAATCTCAGTAGTACACTTCCTCTATTGCAGATGGCTGGAATCCATTTTCTCATCCATATAAAAAAATGGATTATGGGAAATGGGAGCTATTCATCCCACCTGGACAAGATGGACTCTCTCCTGTGCAGCATGGATCAAAACTAAAGGTTCTAGAATTTTTCTTACCTACTTTGGATGTAGCGTTTTGGGCCAGCTTGTGCTTTGTATTTTAAATTGTCATTTATTTTTTATTTAATTTGTCTTAGAAAACTGCAGACAAGCATATTAAATGATGTGTTTATCTGTACAAACTGTCCTGAATGAGTAATATAACGTGTGAGTTTTGTGTTTGGATTTTTGAAATCCAATACGATCTAAATTTGTGGAGGGGATGTAGGGATAGACAAATGTGTGGTTATGAAGATTTCAGAAACTGAAGATGATAAATTGTGAGTATATATTTAATTCAATAGAAAAATAAGGATGACCTACAACTTATCTTTTTAAAAAAATGTTCTGCTTATTTTTGATACAATTCCCTTAACTGTTAGTGCTCAACTGGAACATGAATTTCTTGCTCATACTCTTTTGCTTCAGGAAGCTATTTGTGGGGCTGCAGTAATGTTAGAGCTGGTTGTTTCACTTTACTTCTATCATCCAGTAAGTAAAGTAGTATGCTGTTTCAGATCATATTTTATTTTCAATGTCATACATGGCTCCCTGAGGCTTAAGACTATGATAGACAATGTACAACTATGTTAATCACCAATACTTGGAATACTTGACAATTATTGTAACTTCTGGACTATCCTATGGAATTGTACCAACATTTTTTGTCCTGATGGTTCCACATGTCATTTTAGAAGAGGAAACATAATTTTTCACGAGTTGGGCTAAAGATTGATTTTTATCCAGGTGTATATAGAAAATATTTTAGGAAATTATCGTAAATATTTTGATGTAAGAGTACACTAGACTTCTTGTAAAAAAAAAAAAAATACATTCTTCATACCTATAAAGTAAACTAACATAAGAAGGCTAAAGAGGAGGGTGGAAGAATAAAAAGGGAAAACCACAAAATAGCATTGCATTGTAGAATGAGGATTATGAAGAATAAAGGAGGCCAAATCTACAGTAAAGGAGACAAGCAATAACAAAACAAAGGGTATAGCAATTATAAGCATGATTACAAGCTGGAAAGTAGAGATTTTAAAGAAGATGTAGAAATTTGGAGGGTAGACAAAGCCAAATATTACAATAGGATCTCAGGCCTATATGATCAGATGGCAGTTTTCTATCGAAGTCTAGAAGAGTTCAGGGAGAGATTGGGGAACCAGTGTTTCAGAGAGTAGCAAGGCATTCTAAGAGACACCTGATAGTGTTGTGAGACTTTCCCAGATAGTGTTCCCAGAGGTAGATCTGGGAACCTGAGGCTGTCTACACTATGGGGTTTTTTTCATCCAGGGGATGCGATGCGTCCTGCTCTTCTGCTTTGCTTGCTTGCTTTTTTTTTTTTTTTTTTTTGGCGGATGAGCAGACGTGCTCTTTCGGAAGCACTATCTTCCTCCTCCCATGAGAAAGAAGGACTCTTCTGAAAGAGAAGCCTTTTCTGAAATTTGGCTCAGTGTCGACTGCCAAATTTCAGAAAAGCCTCTTCCAACAAAACTTTCGGAAAAAGGTACACAAATTGCGTTGGGGTGCGTCCGCAGAGCAGCTAGCTGTGAGTTGTGCGGGCACGTGGCTCAGAACAAGAGCCACATTTCTTTAACAAAAAAGCCTCACCTGGCTCGAGCTTCGGGTTGGCCACCCCTGTTATAGCGGTTCCCACCTTCTACGGCCCTCCTCTTTGGCCTGATCTCGGCACCCATGGTTTTTACCAAGTGCACGATGGTGATGGCAACCTACCTCGGGCACAGAATTGTCCAGATTTACCCATACCTCAATAACTGGCAGGCCAAAGGCAGCTGCCTAACACAGATCCAGTGTGACACAGTAGTGCTTCTACATCCCCACTATTCGTTGGGGCTTCAGGTCGGTGACAAAACATCCATGTTAGTAGCAGTTGAAGGGGTAGAGTTCATCAGAGGAGTTTTAGACTTGACCTGTACAAAAGCATTCTTGTCCCAGGACAGATTCCAAGACATGGCGAGCCTCATGATAAAGTTGACCACAGATAAGGCTTGCCTGCTTCTGTCAAGACACATGGCAGCATATATATATGTGATCCACCGCACCAGACTCCACGTGTGGCTGCTCCAGCAATGGCTGCCACCATCTTACTCCCAATCCCAGGGTCACCTGGACAGAGTGGTCACAATCCCTTTGCTAGTACTTATCTCAGAGAATACCCTGGAAGGAGTCCTCTTTCTCCCACCCCTAACTCCCTTAAGTTGGTGGTGTTGGACTTCTTGAATCACAACTAGGGCGCACACCTCAGCCATCTCTGAACTCAAGGGTTGTGGACCCTCTCACAGGTGACGTTGCATATAAACGTTAAGGGAACTCAGAGTGGTTTGTCTGGCCTGTGGGGTGTTCCTACCACACATTGGGCAAGTTGATGTGAGCCCTCACAGATAACAAGACCTCAGTGTTCCACATTAAGAGGCAGGGAGGAGTGTGCTCTGAGACTTCTGCCTTAGTCACAGTATCCACCTGGAGGTGGGTCGCCTCCTGGGGTTGGCAATTCCCTCGCAGATCACCTTAGCAGGGACTTGTCTTCTCATCATGGAGGTGGCCTATATAATCTTCCAGAGATGGAGTTTTCCTATAGGAGCTGTTTTGCACTGATGGTGACTGGGCAGGGCTTCCTTCTCTGATGCCTTTATCTGCTGTGCTCATTCGCACCTATCCCTCTCATTGGCCAAATCCTAGTACGGATCAAGAAGGACAAAGCTCAGGTTATCATTATTGCCTCAAAGTGGCTGTGGCAGCATTGATTTGGCATGCTCATGTACACCCTCCCTAGCCCCTTCCCAACTATCTGGACCTATTATCAAAGGCCCATGGGTACTTCTGCATCCCAGTCTTGCTTCCCTGTACCTCTCTACCTCTCTAAGTGGATGCTCTGTGGTTGAGCATGGAAGAGTGCACCTTCTTGGAAGAGGTTCATTAGGTCCTGCTAGGAAGCAGAAAGCCATCCACCAGGCTGTCTTACCTACGGAAGTGGGCAAAATGTCTCCTCCTGTGTGTTGTGGCTTGGTATCTTTCCCAAATGCTTCCCTGTGCATTCTATTCTAGATAACCTGCTACAGCTAAAGAACCAAGATCTGGTGCATTCCTCAAGCACAGTGCATCTTGAGGCTATCTCTACTTTTCATGAGTTGATCTAGGGATGGACTGTTCTCACATGACATGACAGTGAGATTCCTGTGGGGCCTTGAGTGGCTCTATCTGCAAGTATGATACCCTGTTCAATTGTGGGACCTCAACCTGCTCCTCTCTCAGCTCATTGGCCTGCCCTTCAAAATGTTTGGCTCCTGCTCCCTCTCCTTGTCTTGGAAAGTTGTATTCCTGGTGGTAGTGCCTTTGGTGAGGTGAGTCTTAGAGATCAGGGTTCTGACCTCAGAGTCTCTGTACACTAGGCAAGGTCCAGCTGTATCCCCACATGGGCTTACTGCTGATGATTGTTTCCTCCTTCCATGTGAACCAGGACATACTCCTGTCCGTGTTCTGTCGCAATCCCCTCAAGACAGTGAAAGAGAAACCTAACATAGTTGTTAAAACTTATTTGCTTTTATGTATGTACAGGGAGCACAGTGGAACCTATGATCATCCAATGTGACTTTCTGTAACTATGAATGGTGGTTATTCCCATAGATGTCACAGAATGCTGTTAGAGTTTATATAAGGAATATAGGACTGTAGAATATACTCTACTTATGTATATATCTTTTATTTTTGTTAAGAATTCTTCTTGAAGTCAGTTGAAGTTGCACTTGCTCAGCAACTCTATGAATAATATATGATGGTCACAAGTGTGTGTGTGTGTGTGTGTGTGTGTGTGTGTAAAAGATTCAACAAGTTGAGTGATATTGCCTACACTTTTCAAATAGAGAATAATATGGGAACAAGTAACATCTCTCTAAATGAAGCTTTTTTTCAATTGGACCACTGTAGGCTACATTCAGTCTGGGACTGATGCCAAGTGTATGGTAAATGTTTATTACTTTTTTTAATGTAACAATTTAATTTCAGCATTATCCTGTTTTGCTGAATATTTTCCAGAGGCAACAAAAGTAAACCATTGTTCCCTAAGTTGGGAAGCTGTTTAGTACTGTCAGGCTTGGCTTTTTCTTCAAGAGGCCATAGACTGTTGGTGACCACCAACTATAAGCCACCCAAAGCATTAATTTAAATACAGAAATAAGGAAAATGTGCTATAGTCATAAGTCTTTAACTCAAAATCTAATCAGAATGTATTTACACAACTTTTTTCCTATTAAAAATATTAGGAAACTGATGTGTCTGGGAGTTCCATACTGTTTTCTGTTTAAAAATGCACCTATGGATAGAGACAACAATCTGCCAACAGAAATGTGTTCAGGTTTCCGAGATAGAACTAAGATTTCAGTCACTGAGACATTTGAGAATGTATTTTAGGTGGAATTTGGGATTTTAACTATATCCAGTCAGGACTGCAAAAAAACAAATAAGAAGATTAGAGGGGAAAATATCAGGACAAATTAGAAAAACAACAAGCACTAACTTCCAAGAGTGCATTTATTATTTGGAAATCTCCTTTTTAATCTTTTTCCTTGAGTTTTCCTCTCTTCCATGTAACATTGCTTATTCTCACTTAGAAACGTAGCATGTGACTCTGAGTTTAGAAGTAGCAGATTATCCAGTCAGAAATAGCTTTGTTTTCTCTCTGATATCTCAACTTATTTAGATATTTTTTTTAAAGTTCACATGTCAATAAGGATTGAACTTTTAATATGTTCCTCTCTCAAACTGCTTTGATGTTAACTGCCAATAAAACTTTGTTTTAAAAAAAGTTCAATTTTCACAGCAGGTTCTGAGCTTTTGAAAAAAGCCAGACATATCAGCTGATAGACTGTAAATGCTGAATATGTTTTCTTCATGGATTATATCTTTCATGACTATTTCATGGATTATATCTTTCATGACTATATCTATCATAAAACTTATTCCCATTTAAAACAAAAAT